CTGGGGTCTTAATACAAGGACACTGGTCAGCAGAGGGAGCTCTTTGAGAAGCAGAAAAGTCAAGTCTGCTAAAGTCATTAAACAGCAATTTGACTAGTTGATTTTAAAATATCGTTTTTAATCCTAACTGGTTGAATAGTGATTTTTTTTTAAAAAAAATATTCAACATTGAGTTTGGGGATACAAAAATAAAGGCAGAAGCAAGTAAAAAAAGGGGGTGATTTTTGTCTTGGTCACTGTACTTAACATTCTACACATTGTACTTACATTCAAACTGAATTATTGATAAGTTTACTGCATTGGTAAGGTAACCATATTTTGAATGAACATTAGATAGCAACATGGTGATAGAGAAAACCCTCAACTCTCTCTCTGCTGCTATCTGTTCTGGATTTTGTAGCCCAGATCTGGTAGCTCTGTATGCTGGGCCTCCCTGAAAGAGGAACAGCCCACAAGATGTTTCTAGACTCTCAATAATAGTTGAGATTTTAAATTTTGTTGCACCCTCTTCAATAGTGCAGAAATGAGTTAAATATTTCCCAAATCATGTACAGCTTGGGAAATGAGTCTGTCAAGTTGTTCCCATGACATAAACATCTCCCACTTTTAGCTTCACCTTTTCCCCAGGCAGTGATAGGAGAAAACTCTAATGGGCCATTATGCTAGTTTTCAAGATACCTCAGAATCCTCCTGGGTTCTTAAACTGTTCTGTAAAGAATTAATGCAGGGTTAATAAAGTTTATCTTTCAGTGTTTATGTCTATGCTACTAAAACTCTCCTTGTCATGATCTTAATTTGGACGAAATGGTGCATCACAGTTCTATTTTTTAATATGTACTGTACATTTAGTTTTTCTAAAGTATTAATAAAATTAAAGGTATTCTTTATGCTTGAGCTGCCAATTAATCTTTGAGCTGTTGTAATTTATTAATGCTTTGTGCTGAGTTAATTTGGAACTTTGAACCTTTTCTATCTCATACTCTGGCTGTTAGTTATTATTTATTATTGAAATTTAAAATACATTTAATACTTTTAATGGCACTTGCTTATCCTCTATTTTTATAAGATGTTTGCCCTGCCTCTCCTTCAGAAGTTCAAGGCAGTTTATGTGGGGACTTCCCTTCACTGGATTCCCACAACAGTCTTGTGATCTAAGTTGGACCGGGAAAAATGATTGATTGAAGTGAGTTTCCACAGCTGATAGTAGTCTAGAACCTGAATCTTTCCATTCCATTCCAATAATATCTGAGATTTTAAAAGCACTTCTGTATCTTGTCAAAAGGATCTGTAAAATATCAGCTTGCTGTTCTATATATTCTTTACTCAGCATTAAAACAAAATGGCAGTATCTTCTTTTGTATCAGCAGTGATCTAAAATACAAGTCATGGAAGTGGAATTCTGCATTTCTTTAAATTCATCATGAAAGGAAGGTTGAAAGAAATGGTTGTAAATTGAGGATTACCTTTAGTTATCAATTGTTATTTAATACAGTGTGGAAAGAATTCAGAGAAAGAAATATTTTGGGGAATATTAAAAAGGCAGGATATATTTCCCCAAAGGAATAATGGAGAAGATCTTTAAAAAGACAAGAGACCAGCCCCCAGAAACTTCTCCCTCCCCCCCAGCCAGAAAACTCAGCAGAAACCAGCTTTTAGAAATGCAGATGGAATAATCCATTCAGGAAGGTTGGAACCAGGAAGCTAGAAGCTGATGAGATTAGAAAGACAAAGACCCCTAAAATCTACATACCCCCACCCAAACTCTAAAAGACATGACCTTTGGGGACATAATAGGATTAACCCACCAATACCAAAAGGGCACATTCAGACTCAGTTCAAAGTACATGACACAGGAAATACAAAGCCTCAAACAGAAACAGGAAACAACCTCAAGAGCCCCAGAAGGTATAAAAACCCACCATTCCCAGCAACATGTGGTCAGCTTTTCCAAAGCCACCCTTCTGTCTGGCTCTGCTCTTCAATAAACTACAACCTTCTTTCTAAAGCAGTCTCCATTTTGCTTATTCCCTGCTTGGACTGGACCCTGAGGAAGGTTTTTCTTTCAACAACAGTGTACTATCACTGGTATTTACTATATGCTACCTACATAAAAATATAATGAAAGTACAGTATATATTCTGTAGTTTTATATTAAAGTGAGCAAAATGAGGCTGAAATTATAAATATTCTACATTAAATTGTGGAAAGTTTTATATCAAAATATTTTTTTTTTTTAATTCCTTATTTCCCCTTAACCATTAACAAAATCCATGCACAAAACTTTTAGTCAAATTGCAGTTCTTACATTCAAAGATTTCAGGCTATTTGTCTGCATCCAGAATTTTCTGGATATTTTAAATTACTATAATTTCTCCTGAGGAGGAAGTGTCTTACTTCAAATTTCAATCTAATGCCATGATGAGCAAAACATCCACTGCCATAATCTTACATTGTTATGTATGCATGCTATGCTTATTTATATTTAACATATCATTTATTCAGTCATGTTTTCTGAATTCATTACAACTCATTAAGCCTTCAACACAGGCTAGGATGACACACCATACTGGTTCCCTGGATCTGGCAAACACTTTTTTCAGACTTAGTTGGCAATAATAGTTCTGGATGGAAGGAAGCTGACATTTAAACTAAGCTGAATGCCTTACAGCACATAATGTAACCTACAAACACACTCACATGAACCGTGATTGCCTGTTGAATATATATGGGTTGCAGCTTAACAGGTTCAGTTAAATATTATTTTTTTAAAAAAAAGTTATTGTGAAATTGCATTCCATTCTGCAAGCAAGCAAACTGCATTTTAGCTCTACATCTTGGGTTAACGCAAGCCTACAAATAATTGGCAAATTCCCTCAGAACTGTTTCTGATTTAATAGCGAACAGAACAAAAACTTCAGCTACATTGTATTTGTTAAAACTTTCAACACATCACAAAACTTGTTTGTTTTCAGCCTGCTCAGTCCTAATCAAGCTTAGGGGTTTTGTTTTAAACTCTAAACCATGATTTAATATATTGTGAGAATCCTCCCCATTGTGGCTTTTCTACAAACCATAGTGAAACAAACCATGATTTAGAAAAAGCTGGGTTTGGTTTAAGGCAGTGGTGGCGAACCTATGGCATGCGTGCCAGAGGCGGCACTCAGAGCCCTCTTTGTGGGCACTTCTCTGAACTGCTGGTAGTGGGCTGCGGAGCCCCAGAATGTGCCAGTCGAGGGGCTGACAGGCTGTGGCTGCTGACAGACACTGTCAGCCCCTATGAGCTTGCAGGCCTGTGTGTGTGGGGACTGAAGGCAGCAGCTGCCCCAGCCCATACCTTGCAATAGCACCCACCACCCTTCCTCACCTCACCCTGCAGGACAAGCCTCCTACCCACCACCCCACCTGCCAGAGACCCCCTAGATCTCTCCCAACCCTGCCTGGCCCACAAAGGCGCCCCTCCCCATAGAGGTAACCACGCCTACCTTGGCCATACCCAGCCAGTCTGCCACTAACACCACAGCCACGCCCACCCAGTGGGCCACGCCCACCTGGCACCCAGCAATAAATAAGTGGGTTTTGGGTTGCAGTTTGGGCACTTGGTCTCCAAAAGGTTTGCCATCACTGGTTTAAGGAGTATCTGGCCCCAAACCAGCCCAAGCTTCAAGGAAGAACATCAAATTCTACTCTCCTCCTTTTCTCAAATCAAAATCATACAACCCAAGGATAAGCCAATTATTTTGGCATCCAATATATTTTTTTTTTAAAAAAAAAGCGCCAACAATCATGTCACTACGCAGGAACCAAGTTCTGCTACTAATGGAACTCTCCCATTAAAGGCAGACCTAGACTCAAATCCTCTTTTAGCCCTTAGTGCATTGGGTGATCTCGGCAACCTTCGTGTTGAGCTTATCTGGCTCAAAGGGCGGCTTATTGGGGAAGACTGAGAGGAAGGACCGCTCCCTTCTTCGACGCGCGGACGCGGGGGGGCGGGGGGGGGAAGAAAGGCAAAGGAAATCTACGACACCCAACTGCCGCTGTCCTTCTGTGCCTCGCAGCAAGGCCTGGCCTGGATGCCAAAGGGATCAAGGTCAAGGCTGCAGAGTAGCCGGCAAAGTCCCCTCCTCCCGAGCGCATCTCTGCGCTCTGGCACGTTTCACCTGTCTCCAGGAGAGGGTGCAGAGGGGGCATTCCCGCCATTGGAGACAGGCGCCCGGCCAATCTGCAAAAAAAAAACAAAACAAAACAAAAAAAAAAAAACCACCAAGCACCCGGGCACGAGCGGCGAAGCACCGGCGGCCACGCGCCGGACTTTCCTCCTTTAGGGCCCTGGCTCGGTTTGGCTGCACCGCACCTGAACGGCGAGGCAGAGAGGAGAGGAAAGGCGTCGCCAGGCAATCACATGGGCTCCCTGCTTCGGGTGCCATTGGATAGGGCCTAGCCATTAGCTTCGCTCTGCGTTGAGAGAAGCGAGGGAGGCAGACCGGGCGTGCAGAAAAAAATGGTGGAGGTTTGCTTTTTTCTTCCTCCAGCAAGGCCGAAGAGGTAAGCTGGGAGGGGGGGGGGGCTTCGTCTAGCTTGCCTCGCCCGCGTTTTAGCCCAGCGCTTTGGCCCCGCCTGCTGCATGGCTCGGCTGCTACAGTGACTCGCTTAGCCTGGGCTGCTGCCGCCAGCTGAGGTGCGTAAAATACCCCGGTTTTGCCAGATGATTAATATTATTGCTAACCGGATTCTTGGATGATCTACGGTACTCGCCCAGTTGTATTGCGGAAAAGGGATTTGGTGCAGTCTCATCGATGATGCTCGGCGGTGACGGTTTTCGAAAGCTCTCACGATAATATCGTGCATCCCTTTTACAACAATCTTGTTCGGTGGGCCGGTATTGGCGTCCCTTTGGGGGAAGAAGGGGCGCTGAGTTGGTGAGAAAGTGATTTGCCTCGGCCGCTTGAAGCACAAAGCTCAGGTTTTGTGGCTGTTGGAAAGTAAGACTTTGTATTCAGTGAGTCTTGTGCTCAGGTAAGTGAAGGTAAGATTATAGCCTTAGACTTTAAACTTGCACCTGTTTACCTGAAAGTCAGTGCAAGTAAACGCAGCGCAGCTTATTCATGGTTTATTTAATGAGTCAGAATTGACTGGTTTCAAATGGTTGCAATGTTGACAAAGCCACGTTATGGCAGTGTGTGATACTGAACACAACTTTTGCTGGTATTAATAGATGTGTTTATTCTTGCCCTGCAAATAAATTTGGATTTGAACTTTGGATTCTCTGATCTTTATTTTGGGTTTTGCCACTGTGCTGTACCACTAGCTCTCTTTTGCAAATAGAAACAGATAGCTCTGCTCCTCACATTTCCAACTGCTTGGGAAGGATGCTTAAACTGCTAGTTTCTTGGGTATCATACTTCTCTCCTTTTGTAAAAGTTAAGAAATATATGAAATATTAACAGACTAGTAGGCTTGTGACACAGTCCGTAAACTATCTTCTGTGCTACTGTATAAACTATATGGTATTAACTATCTGAATGAAAATGAATTTTCATGGTAAAGACGAAGCTTCATCTCCTTGCAAATTAATGAAATAAAATTCAATAGTCATATAGTTGTTGTTTTTAGCAGAAACCAACTTCATTTATAATATGAGAAAATAAAATATTACAGACTTTCCTTTGAAGAAGATAATTGTGTTTTAAAGACAAGCCTTGCAATACTGGATTGGATTAAATTTTATTCAGGAAGCTGTACTCTATGACACAGTTGTATGACTTCATCTTCTGGGGCAGGATAGGCAACCTACCAGCTGGCTCAGGAATTCTGGGAGTTGAAGTCCACGAGTCAAAAGAGCCAAGGTTGCCTACCCCATTTCTGGGGGAATCCTCAGGTAACTCCCTTCCCTTCTTTCTTTGGGCAGATGTAAGAGAAGTGGATTTTTTGCCTGAAGAACAAAACCCAAAGTTGATGTAAGCACTATCTAAACATGTAAAAATAAACAAGGGTACTAGTATTGCTTAAAAAGACATCAACTGCAAAGCCGAAGCATTCTAAAGCATATGACACCAATGTATGAGAAATGCTTAGGGTTTTTGCCATACCAATAGACAATACAGTGAAGTATCCTGTAACCAAGATCTGATGCTTCCCATTCCTGTCCTGGAGAAAGACAGTTATGAATGGAAACTGGAACATACTCAAAATTGTAGCAAGACCACTGAAATTGGGAAGGCTAATATCCTCAGATTAAATTCCATTGCAAAAGTCTTTTGTTTGTTCTCCCCCACTCTTTCCCCCCATCCTTTGGCTGCCAACAGAGACTTGCCGAAAGGCATCTGTAAATGTTGAGAATAGCTGCTGCTGCTGCTGCTGCTGCTACTGCTGAGAACAGAAAGTAACTAATTGTACTGCTGATAGGGAAAGGAAAGTAATTGAAGGGAGATGAATCTCTCTATAGTTGAGTACTGTATGTGCCAGGAGAAAGGAGGAAGTGTATTGCAGTCTAGGTGTGGTGGAAAATGAAAGGCTATAAATATGAAATGTTATTTGTCATGCCTTCCTGGCATCACTCTTTTAATTTGTGAAGCCTCAGGTGGCAACAAATGAAATTCATGTCTTTTTTTGTGCTGGGAAAAGCATCATAAAGACTTTTTATAATTCAGTACTATATTTTCAGGAAGTACGATCTTGCTTATGGCAGATTTAACACTTTTCCGCTAGATTAAGGATTCTTTGGTTTGCTTTCAAATGGCAGCTCCATAACATTTCTGTACAGGTAGTCCTCAGCTTGCAACCAAAACTGAGCCCAAAATCTATGTTGTTAAGTGAGAAATTTGTTAAAGTGAGTTTTGCCCCATTTTACAACTTTTCTCACCACAGTTGCTAAGTGAATCACTGCAGTTCTTAAATTAGTAACATGGTTGTTAAGTGAATCTGGTTTGCCCACTGGCTTTACTTGTCAGAAGTTTGCAAAAGGGGATCACGTGACTTCAGGACACTGCAAAGGGACACTGTGTGTCAGTTGTCAAGCATCTGAATGTAAATCACGTGACCAGGGGAGGCGATAATGGTCATAAGTGTGAAAAATGGTCATAAGTTAATTTTCAGTACTGTTGTAACTTTGAACAGTCACTAAATGAACTATTGTAAATCAAGGACTACCTGTAATCCAAGGTAACATTTCAAAATATTGTGAAACACTCTTGGCGGGTTCCCTTGCTTTGCCACCCTAGTGGCAGTTGAATGAGAGATTATATTTTTAATAACCTTTCATTCAGTTTCTACTGGAATGATTGTATCTTGACCTAAGCCATGTTTTTATCATTGATTGGGGCCTTTGATCAATGTAGAAATACAGTTACAGGTTTAAATTACTTTTTTTAGAATGTTCAGTGCACCTCCACAATGGAAAAATTGTACATTATGAAAAATGTACATAAAATGCTACTTTATAGAGAAAATACATAGAAAAATATTTACAGTTTTCTGAATGGTATTAAGTAAAAGTAAGCAGAAAGTTTTCATGAAGTCATTTGAATCTTTCGGGTCAAGCTGGGAAGTGAAGGCTAATGGCTGCTTTCAGATGCTCTAAAGCAGTGGTTCTCAACTTTTCTAATGCTGTGACCCCATAATACAGTTCCCCATGTTGTGGTGACCCCCAAGTGGGTGTGGCCACCAATAAGAGGGAGTAGGACAGCTAGGGAAAAGGGAAAAAAATGGCGGACAGCATGGTTTGGCGACCCCCGTGAAATGGTCGTTCGACCCCAAATGGGGTCCCGACCCACAGGTTGAGAACCACTGCTCTAAAGACATAATTGCTCAATTATTGCCAAAGTGACTGGAAGGAGCAGCCACACAGCTGGCTCGTAGATTGGTTTCTTTTCCCTCGCTAGATGCTGCCTTTCTTAGGAATCCCACCATGATCGATAGCTCCAAGAAGCAGCCACAGAGGTTTCCACAGATTTTACGTTTTGAAGATATTGAATCGTTAAAGGGAAAGGAATGCCTTGATCCAGACATCCCGAAGTGTCTTAAGGAAGAGATGCAGCAAAGGGAGGAACCTCGCCCAGTAAGCTTTTCAGCTCATAGGACAACACTCCAGTCTGGAGGTTCCGAGGTGAAGTCGCGGCACAACCCAGCCCAGCGTCGGACCCCACCGGCCGCAGAGGACCCGCCAGCGTTGCTCGCCCTCTCCCCCGCCCTCTCCCCCGCAGCCTCGGAGCCAGCTTGCCCGTCAGGTCACAAGAGGCAGAAGGACTGTTGCCGGAGGGGGGCCGTGTCTCTTTCACGGGCGCCATTTTGTGGGTCCGCGTCGTCTGGCTTCTTTCCTTCTCTCCGGGCCTCCTCGGGACGGGCAGGCCCGGTGCAGCCGGGCGTGGAGGTGTTCGTGGACGGCGTGCCCGGGGGGGCATTGCGGGTGGAGCTGTGTGACCTCTTCGAGGCGGCCGTGCCGGGCGTGGTGGAGAACGTGGCCCTCATGAAGCAGTTCACCTTCATCCACCTATGCGACGAGGCGGCGGCCGAGCGCGCCATCCAGAAGCTCAGTGGGCACCTCCTGCACTGCCACCGCGTGGTCGTGGAGTTCTCCCGCCCGAGGCCCACCCACACCATCAAGACCTTCGTGGGCAATGTCTTGGCCGCCTGCACCAGCGGTGAGCTGCGTGTCCTCTTCCAGGAGTTTGGGCCCGTCATCGAGTGCCACATCGTGAAAGGAGTGGGAGAGGCGAGCTTGTGGCCTAGAAATCTACTCTGTACATGCTCAGAGGTGTTGTTATGTTCTCCATTCCTGACTGCGATCCCAGCAATTGAAACCAACTCAGCTTTAAGGAGCCCCAGTTTGACTAGCTGTCCCGCCGTGGCTGGGTTGACTTTACACAATTGTTGGATGTCTGGAGAAGCCATTGATGAGCTGCCCGAGAGGTACTTGGAGAAGTTGACCCAGCTCTTTGAGGAGCATAAGGCCAAATACGGTCTGCCCCAAGAGAAGTACCTAATGATCACCTAGTCGGCCACATTGGACCATCCTGGGACACAGAGGGGCAATATTATTTTTTTAGAGAATGTTTGTTGTGGGTGTGTGTATGCATGTAGATGAATGGTGGCCCTGTTATGTATAAATTTTATTGTATTTAGGGCGTATGGATGTGAATATTTTTATTTTTTATGTATATAAATTGAGTGTGAGTGTGTATTGATTGTTTGGGGTATGATAATGGTGGAGTCGGGGGCGGAGCCTGGTACCCCCTCTGCTGAGTGCAATAGCAAAAGTAGGGGGGGGCAGGACTTACCCTTGGGCTTGGTCTGTATGGAAAGCGAGTCCGATCAGGAAGGGAGAAGGCTGGTGAGGGTGGGGGTACTCTGGGGAGGGGAGAAGGTCGGAGCATCCCGGTTATGACTGGGATGGGCAGATATGGCGGGAGCCGAGGGGCAGGCCATCTTTGGGGAACGAGGACTCGCTATGTTAGAGCGATTCCTTGTTCCGGCCCCTCAAAAGGCTCATCCTGTAGTACTGGTGATGGGAGTACAGGGCCCTAATTGTAGGCTGTTGTTGCTTAATGCCAGGTCCGTTGTCAGCAAAGCCCCCCTTGTCCGTGATTTAATATTGGACTGCGGGGCGGACCTGGCATGTATAACCGAAACCTGGCTGGGCCCTGAGGGGGGTGTTTCCCTCTCGGAGATGTGCCTGGAGGGGTTTGTGGGCAGGAGTGGGGGAGTGGCAGTCATCGCTCGGAAGTCCTTGAGTCCTCATGGGATTCCTGCCCCGGAGGTTGTTGGGTGTGAGTCCCTCCTATTGAAGTTGGGTTCACGGGTTCAGTTGGGCTTGCTGCTGACGTACCTACCTCCCAGCTGCGTTGCAACAGCCCTGCCTGCGTTGCTGGAGTCAGTAGCCGGGTTGGCGGTGGAGTTCCCCAGACTTATAGTACTGGGGGACTTTAACCTACCATCACTCGGTGATCGCTCAGAGGTGGCGGAGAAGTTCATGGCTTCCATGGTACCATGGACCTGACCCAGGTAATTCAGGATCCAACTCATAGGGGTGGTCACACACTCGACCTTGTGTTTCTCTCGGGGCAATGGAGACATGATCTGGAATTAAGGGGAATAGAGATCTCGCCCTTGTCATGGACAGATCATTTCCTATTGAGGCTGGACTTCAGAGCATCACTCCCCCATCGCAGGGAGAGGGAGCCGACTAGGTGGTTCCGCCCCAGGCGCCTAATGGACCCAGATCGGTTCCAGGAGGAGCTTGGGGAAATACCTGACTCCCTTGTCCACAACTCGTCCGGGTCCCTGGTTGCGGCCTGGAATGAGGCGGCGTCCGGGGCCCTGGATCGAATTGCGCCTTTGCGACCTCTCTGTGGTGGTGGTCCCCGGAGGGCGCCTTGGTTTACTGAGGAGCTCCGGGAGATGAAGCGCCACAAGAGACGTCTAGAGCGACGTTGGAGGGCCAGTAACTCTGAATCTGACCGATCACTATTAAGAGCCTATCTTAGGACTTATTTAGTGGCGATAAGGGCGGCAAAGCGTGTTCACTTTTCCGCACTTATTGCGTCCGCAGAATCTCGCCCGGCCGCCTTGTTTAGGGTGACCCGCTCCCTCCTTAAAGTGGAGGAGGTGGAGGAACCCTTGCAGGGGAGAGCTGAGGAGTTTGTTCAGTTTCTTTCGGACAAAATCGCTCAGATTCAGAGAGATCTGGACTCCGACTGGGCAGTGCCAGCCAAGTTGCCAGGGGCTGGTCTTAGTCATGTTATCTGGAGCGAGTTTGAGCCTGTGACCCCTGATGAAGTGGACAAGGCCGTGAGGGCAATGAATGCCGCCACCTGTTTATTGGACCCGTGCCCCTCCTGGCTGGTTTCTGCCAGTAGGGAGGTGACACGAGGCTGGCTCCAGGCGATAATCAACGCCTCCTTGATGGAGGGGTCTTTCCCGCAACCTTTAAAGGAAGCGGTGGTGAGGCCCCTCCTCAAGAAGCCTTCCCTGGACCCAGCTGTTTTGAAGAACTTTCGTCCCGTCTCCAACCTCCCCTTTGTGGGGAAGGTTGTAGAGAAGGTGGTGGCGTCCCAACTCTTGCGATCCTTGGATGAAACTAATTATCTGGACCCTTTTCAATCTGGTTTCAGGCCCAGCTACAGCACTGAGACTGCTTTGGTCGCACTGACCGATGACCTCAGGCGAGCCCGGGATAGGGGTTATTCCTCTATCCTGCTGCTTCTTGACCTCTCAGCGGCTTTCGATACCAGCGACCATGGTATCCTTCTGCGTCGTCTCGGAGAGGTGGGGGTGGGCGGCACCGTATTGCGGTGGTTCTCCTCCTACCTCTCTGACAGGTTGCAGTCGGTGTTGGCGGGTGGACAGAGATCGACCCCTAGGCGCCTCGATCATGGGGTGCCTCAGGGCTCGGTCCTGTCCCCCCTCCTTTTTAACATCTACATGAAACCGCTGGGTGAGATCATTCGGCGACACGGGGTGAGGTATCATCAGTACGCGGATGATACCCAATTGTATATCTCCACCCCGTGTCCTTTCAGTGAAGCAGTCGACGTGATGTGCCGGTGCCTGGAAGATGTGAGGGTCTGGATGGGGGTGAACAGGCTTAGACTCAACCCTGACAAGACCGAGTGGCTCTGGGTCTTGCCTCCCAAAGGCCAACTGGATGGTCCATCATTAGTCCTGGGGGGGGCAAATTTACCTCCCTCAGTGCAGGCACGCAACTTGGGTGTCCTCCTGGACTCACAGCTAAATTTGGAACAACATCTATCGGCTGTGGCCAGGGGGACCTTTGCACAGGTTCGCCTAGTGCACCAGTTGCGGCCTTATTTGGACCGGGAGGCTTTACTCACAGTCACTCATGCCCTTGTCACCTCAAGACTGGATTACTGTAACGCGCTCTACATGGGGCTACCCTTGAAGGGCGTTCGGAGGCTGCAGTTGGTTCAGAAAGCAGCCGCGAGAGCGATTGTGGGCGCGCCAAGGTACGCCCACGTGTCACCTATCCTCCGCGAGCTGCACTGGCTTCCTATGGGTCTCCGGACGCAATTCAAGGTGTTGGTTATCACCTTTAAAGCCCTTTATGGCATAGGGCCAGGTTACTTACAGGACCGCATTCCCAGAGACCGGTGAGGTCCCATAGATTGGGCCTCCTTCAGGTCCCGTCGGCCAGACGATGTCGGCTGGTGGGCCCTCGGGGAAGGGCCTTTTCTGTGGTGGCTCCAACCTGGTGGAATCAACTTCCCCCCGAGGTTCGAACTACTCCCACCCTGCCGGCCTTTAAGAAAGCCGTTAAAACTCTCCTGTTCCAGCAGGCCTGGGGCTGATGTCCCCAAGGGGGGGGCGGGATATGATCGGACTTGCGGTATGACTGTATTATTTTATTGTTTTATGATTGTTTTAATCTCTGTACGCCGCCCTGAGTCCTTTGGGATTGGGCGGCATATAAATAAAATTAAATACAAAAAAATACAAATACAATACAAGTAGCGAAATGAAACAAATGTATGAAGAAATAATGAGAAATTAAGAGGAGTGAAATAGTTAAACCTATCCAGTTCTAATGGGACTCCACTATAACAGCCTCAAATTCCCTATTTTGGATTAGAGTAATATGAAAACAATCCATAGGCTACGCTCACATATGAAACTAGTTGAAAGCTCCATAGTGACATGACTGAAGTTACTAATTCTGGTTAACGTAAGCATGGCTAACCATATAAAGAGGAATCCAGTCATACGATGTGCAAAACATAAATGCACAATTCTTTCTCTAGTTGACAAGCTACCATGACTGTTTTGAAATGTAATGCTAAATTATATGTGAGAATTACTCTTGGCCTTATGCAGTTATCATTTCTCCTTTTTGCCGCAGAGGATATTAGGCGCTTTCTTTTAGACTAATCACAATTTAGCACGTCATTTGAACTTGAACAAACTAATTGACCTTAACTCCAAGTTTATTAAAAACAAGCACATTTCATAAACTATGGTTTGAAGTATACAGGTAGTCCTCAGCTTATGACCATAATGGTGTCTGCCCATTATGCTGGTAAAGTTGTGAAGATCATAAAGTGAATCATCCACATTACCATCCTGATTTTCAAAACTTTTTTGTGTGTTGATCACAAAAAAAAACACCTGCAGTTGTTAAGCAGAACTGCAGTCATTAAGCCAGTGATGGCAAACCTTTTAGAGACTGAGTGCCCAAACCGCAACCCAAAATCCACTTATGCATCATCGGGTGCCGGGTGGGCATAGCCCATTGGCTGGGTGTGGCCCATTGGGTGGGCATGGCTGCGGTGGTAACAGCAGACTGGGTGGGACTAAAAAGTTCAATCAATCAATTCCAACTTTGCAAGATCTTTTTTTTTTCCTGCGAGAAGTTGAAATTGACTGATTGATTGAACCTTTTTTTTTTTTTTTTGCACACGGTGGCGGAGGTCTAAAGAGAAAAGGTTTTATAAAACCCAGTTGAAGGCCTAGGACTGGGGTGACAACGCGCGTGCCCACAGAGAGGGCTCTGAGTGCCACCTCTGGCACCCGTGCCATAGGTTCGCCACCACTGCATTAAGCAAAAGCAGTGTATGCTATGTAAACACAGGTTTTCAGCAAAAACATTATAAATCACCGTCGCATGATCACAGGAAATGACTGTAAATGGGAGGAGAGGGTTGCTAAGCACCCAAAATGTGGGAGGGGCAGCTGTCAAAACTTTAGAATTGTGTCATAAATACTTTTTTTTGGGGGGGGTCTATTGTAACTTAAAAACGGTTGCTAAGCAAATGGTTGTTAAATTGAGGACTACCAGTACTCAACTAACCATATAAAAGGTTAACTGCTAAGATTATGCTAAGCAAAACAGTGAAATGTTATGCCCTATTTTATGATCTTTCTTGCCACAGTTGTTAAGTTAGTAACAAGATTGTTAAGCGAATCTGGTTTCCCCATTGACTTTGCTTGTCAGAAGGTCGCAAAAAGTG